TATGAAATCTTTTGTATGCAAATTTTTATTTGGAATGAAAAATCAATTATAATGAACTAATAATTAAAATCTTAGGTTCAACAATTGAAATGCTTCGTTCGGAAAATGTTCAAGTACGTTCACAATTATCAATAATTCAACGTCGAATGTTTCAAGAAAAACAACAAATAATGGATTATTTACATCAAACTGAAGATAATCTTATTAAAACAAGAACGACTCAAACAGCGTGAGTTTTTATTACTTCAAGATTATGAACAACTACACAATTAATTAACCCTTTGATGCCGGGATTTTTTTTGAAAAAATGAAATTTTTTTTCTTTCAAAAAATGTCTGGAACAAATTTTATTGTTATAAAGAAGCATTTAGAAATGTTTCAGAGTATGATAATCTTCAAAACAACCTATCACACTGATAACGTGTATCGGTACGCTTTTTGTTCCATATGCTTGTATCACTACAAACTTCACAATACCTCTGTGCAGTTTTTCTTGTTGCTATTTCTGGAACTAGAGACGGAAAGTGACGCACAGTGAGACACATGGAATTGTACTCGATAGTCGGACGATCAATTGGATAATTGAGGTGACCATTTCTTTCAATCAGTTCCCGAATAAATTGAATTCGAAAGTCACCAAATTGAATAGTTTTTTATGCGTCACTCTGAATAGCATATAGAGATAGAATGTGAGAAGCAGAAGTGTCAGAACACAGGAGAGCATATGAATACACACAGAGTAATGTGAGACGATGTGGCAATAACGTTGCCAAGATAAGAGAAAAAGAGAGGAGTCTTTTCCATCGAGTCTAAATAATGTTATAATGACCGTAATAGGAGCAAAAGTTCAACGCGCATATATGTGTACCCCAGCGCCAAAGGGTTAATAAAAAGCATCAAGATAATATTCATTAATTAAAAATTTCTATTTTTCAAGATCAACAAAGATATTTACAATGATTAAAGATGATGAAAAAATTAAATTGGAATTAGAATTAAATACTTATAAATTAAAAATAAAACGTTTATATTCACATTTTAATATTAATATCGATTCAATTGAACAGTTAAGACCAATTTTAGAAGATCGATTATTACAAGTTTATTAATTAATATTCAATTTTCAGAGAGCATCCATAAAGAGATCAAACAATTGAAGCATCGATCAAAATTTTCAAGTTTTGATAAGCATTTTGAAAGCTATCATCTAAAACCTTCAAACCTAAATGTCTCATTTCGATCTTTTATGGAAAAGTTATCCTGGATCGACTTTTCAACACCAATTATCTACTGTCAACAAAATAATGATTAATTGTATCATAAATATCTACGGAGATAATACTTTCGTAAGTGAGACAATTGTTTCATGTAATATGTCAAAAGATAGATCACCAACAGATAGAAAAAAAATAATAAGCTATTTAAAATATTGCATATCAGTTATTA